CTGTCTGACTGAGTGCCCTCAACACTCATCCACATAAAATATGTTCTTACTATCCTTTAGAGAAATTATTTTCCATGTTTTACAAAGAAACTTAGATATAAGAGGCTCAATAACATGTCCAAAGTCAAACCATGAATCAGTAGCAGATCCAGGATTTTAACCAAGGTTTTCTGACACCCAGATCCATACGGTAAGGGCTCAAGAAGGGGTGGTTGATAGAAAGGGGAGGGCTTATACACTGTTGGTGGGAATGGCAAGTAGTACAGCCACTATGAAAAACAGAATGGAGGTTCCTCAAAAAATTAAAAATAGAACCACCATATGATCCAGCAATCCCACTACTGGGTATATATCTGAAGGAAAGGAAATCAGTTTGTCAAAGACATCTCTGCACTCCCAGGTTTACTGCAGCAGTAGGCACAATAGCCAAGATATGGAATCAACCTAAGTGCCCAGTGATGCGTGAATGAATAAAGTGGGATATGTAAGCCATGGAATAGTATTCAGTCATTTAAAAAGGAAATCCTGCTATTTGCAGCAACATAGGTAAAACTGGAGGCCATTATGTTAAGTGCAATAAGCCAGGCACAGAAAGACTAATATTGCATGTTCTCACTCACATGTGGGAGCTAAAAAAGTGGAGACAGAGAGTAGAATCGTAGTTACAAGAGGCTGAGAAGGGAAGGAGGAAGAAGGTGAAGAGAAGCTGGTTAAGGGGTACAAACATATGGTTAAATAGAGTAAGTTCAGGGGAACGATCCAAGATGGCTGATCGCTAACATCTCGGGATTGCAGCTCTCAGTGAAAGCGCAGAGAACTAGAGGACGTCACACTTTCAGACAAATTCTGGTCACTCACAGAGCAGAAGATCCCCAGTGGAGGAGCCACACGGGTCACCAGCGTGACTCTTGTGGCTGGCGCAGCGGTTTTGCCAGCACCTCGACGCGGCAGCTCTCAGAGCAGAGTAAACAGAGCTGGCTCCCCTTCTGACCGAGGTTTGGAGGACCCACATGTGTCCCCAGCACGACTCCTGAGGCCGGTGCAGCGGTTGTGACGGCACCTTGGCATGGCAGCTCTCAGCGCAGAGTAAACGAGACTGGTTCCTCTTCTGACCAAGGTTTGGAGCCCTGGGAAGGCAGAGTCGCCTATTACAGACACAAGAAGGAAGCCAAACAGGAGAATCCTGGGCAGAAAAGCACCATCAATTTTAACAGCGCTGTTCTGGCCCTGGGAACTAACAACTTGGACATCCACTCAAGAGACCTAATCTGAAAGTAGGTAATTTCAAAGATGACAGGAGGATAAATTTACAATGATGGGAAGAAACCAGCGTAAAAAAGCTGAGAATACTCAAAATCAGAACGCCTCTCCCTCTAAAGATGATCACAGCTCCACATCAACAATGGAACAAGGCTTGATGGAGAACGAGCGCATCCCAATAACAGAATCACGCTTCAGGGAATGGATAATAAGAAACTTCTGTGAGTTAAAAGAACACGTTGCAGCCCAACGTAAAGAAACTAAGAACTTTGAAAAAAGGTTTGACGAAATCCTGTTGAAAATAGACAACTTAGAGAGGAATATAAGTGAATTAATGGAACTGAAGAATACAATACGGGAACTCCAAGAAGTATGCACAGGTTTAAACACTCAAATTGTTCAAGCAGAAGAAAGGATATCAGAGGTCAAAGTCCAACTTAATGAAATAAAACGAGAAGACGAGATTAGAGAAAAAAGGATAAAAAGGAATGAGCAAAGTCTTCAAGAAATGTGGGACTATGTGAAAAGACCTAATTTACATTTGATAGGTGTACCTGAATGCGACAGAGAGAATGAATCCAAGCTGGAAAATACCCTTCAGGATATTATTCAGGAAAATTTTCCTAAACTAGCAAAGCAGGTCAATATTCAACCCCAGGTAATACAGAGAACACCACAAAGATATTCCTCAAGAAGAGCAACCCCAAGGCACATAATCCTTAGATTCACCAGGGTTGAAACGAAGGAGAAAATACTAAGGGCAGCCAGAGAGAAAGGTCAGGTTACCCACAAAGGGAAGCCTATCAGACTTACAGCAGATCTCTCAGCAGAAACTCTACAAGCCAGAAGAGAGTGGGGGTCAATATTCAACATCCTCAAAGAACAGAACCTTCAGCCCAGAATTTCATATCCAGCCTAACTAAGCTTCACAACTGAAGGAAAAATAAAATCTTTTATGAACAAGCAAGTACTCAGAGATTTTATTACCACTAGGCGTGCTTTACAAGAGCTTCTGAAAGAAGCATTACACACAGAAAGAAACAACCAGTATTAGCCTTTCTAAAAATATACCAAAAAGTAAAGAGCACCAACATAAAGAAGAATTTACATTAATGAATGGATAAAACAGCCAGTTAACATCAAATGGCAGTAACCCTAAATTTAAATCGACTAAATCCCCCAATCAAAAGACACAGCCAAAACCCAATGGCATGTTACATCCAGACCTGTTTCACATGCAAGGATACACAAAGACCCAAAACAAAGGGATGGAGAAAGATTTACCAACCAAATAGAGAGCAAAAATAAATAAATAAATAAATAAATAAAAAGCAGGAGTTGCAATTCTCATATCGGATAAAATAGATTTTAAAGCAACAAAGATATAGTGGTAAAAGGATCAATGCAACAACAAGAGCTAAAGATCCTAACACCCAAATACATAGAGACTTAGATTCAATGAGACAGAAAATTAATAAGGATATCAAGGACTCGAACTCAGATCCAGAACAAGTAAACTTAATAAATATTTATAGAGCTCTCCACTTCAAATACACAAAATATACATTCTTGTCAATACCACATCACACCTACTCATAGGTTTAAATGAAACATTGATTGGCCATTATTAATACCCATTTTTTTTTCAGAATAAAGCAATATTTCCATTCACCCTCCCTCTTTCTCTTCCTCTTTCTTCCTCTCCTTTACTCATTTTTTTTCTTTCCTTCTCTCAAAAAAACAAAAAAAGAAATCAACTTGTAAACCTCTAGATCCAGGTCGGCAATGTCCTCTCATTGCTTGATTTCCTTCCTTCCCTTCCCTCCCTCCCTCCCTCCCTCTACCCTTCCTCCCTTCCTTTCTTCCTTCATCCCTTCCTTCCTCCCTCCCTTCCTCCTTCCCTCCCTTCCTGCCTTCCTCCCAAGAAAAAAAAAAATAGAATAAGTTCTAGTATTTGATAGTATAGCAGGGAAATTATAGTTAACAATCATTTATTGTACAGTTCAAAATAGCTAGAAGATTTGGAATGTTCCCAGCACAAAGAAATGATAAATGTTGGAGGTGATGGATATCCCAGTTACCCTGCTTTTATCATGACACATTGTATACCTGTATCAAAATATCACCTGTACCCCACAAATACGTACAACCATGATATTGCAATTTTTAAAAATTAAATTAAAAAGAAACATTGTTGTAATAATAATAACTCCAGAGTTGGTGGTGATTTCTTTCATTTGGATTCCTACAAACAGATTCTGAGACAAAGAAAATGCATATGAAAGTGGTTTAAATAAAGAACATTGTCAGGAAAAATCATTAGGTGAATAAGAAAATGGAGCCGCGAAGGGAAGAGGCCAAATGAAGGACTGGGGTGACAGCAAGCAGAGCTGTCTCAGGGATGACGCAGGTCTCATCTCAGAGTTGTCCCCTCAGAGGAAAAGGAACAGGACATTTTTGTGTGTGAGGGAGTCTCTCCCTCTGTCACCTAGGCTAGAGTGCAATGGCGAGATCTCAGCTCACTGCAACGCCTGCCTCCTGGGTTCAAGAGATTCTCCCACCTCAGCCTCCCGAGTAGCTGGGATTACAGACACCAGCCATCAGGCCCGACTAATTTTTGTATTTTTTGTAAAGACAGGGTTTCACCATGTTGGCCAGGCTGATCTTGAACTACTGACCTCAGGTGATCTGCTCCCCTCAACCTCCCAAAGTGCTGGGATTACAGAGGTGAGCCACTGTGCCCATCCCAGGAATTGAAATATTTCTATTCCATACCTGTCAGTCATTGACTCCGGGCTGCTTTAGGGGATGGGAAGAGGGATAATCCCCAGGCACATGGGGCTCCGTTATGATCACAGGTAATGGGGGCTCTGGGAGAGAAGGGTCAGGGTGGGAGGAAGGCACGCTCAGAGCCAGTGCATGCTGATGGCATCCGCTACAGTGATCTTGAAACTGGAGTAGCACCATGAAAAGAAGCAAAGCTGTTATCTTGCTTTTTTTTTTAACCAGAAAATAAACACCAACTTTATTAATATAATAGCAACAGAAAAGGTTTCCACTTTCTTTCTTTTTTTTTTTTTTTTGAGACGGAGTTTCGCTCTTGTTACCCAGGCTGGAGTGCAATGGCGCAATCTCGGCTCATCACAACTTCCACCCCCTGGGTTCAGGCAATTCTCCTGCCTCAGCCTCCCGAGTAGCTGGGATCACAGGCACGCGCCACCATGCCCAGCTAATTTTTTGTAATTTTTAGTAGAGACGGGGTTTCACCATGTTGACCAGGATGGTCTCGATCTCTTGACCTCGTGATCCTCCCGCCTCGGCCTCCCAAAGTGCTGGGATTACAGGCTTGAGCCACCGCGCCCGGCCCAAGGTTTCCACTTTCTAAGAAGGAAATAACATAACACCAGCACAAGTGTTTAAAGAGTAAATGCCTACATTTCTTGTTCTGATAACTGCCCACCACACACCAAAGGTTCCTCAAGGACAGTTGCCACCAGAGCTGCTGCAGGAACATGTCTTTCACTGGGCATAGCTTCACAGTCAACTCCTCAAGCAGAAGACTAAAATATTATTTCTTTTTAGAAGATCCTGGTTGTGGAAGAACATATCAATATGGAGAGAAGATCTTTGCTTCTCAAATTCAAGATACGCTACTAATGTATCAATTTTTCTCCGATACCGTGTGCCAGAGTGCTCTGTGAAGAATCCTTCTCCATCCATACCACATGTCTGGGTGAGAGGAGAGTGGCAAGCTGCCAGTACACTAGCAGACACTCCTGGTGATGCATTGTGCTCTGCTCCCTTTCTGCTGATAGTAGTAGGCATCTTTTCTGGTAGCTGCAGCAGCTTGATGTGGAGGGAAAGAAGGGGCCACTGACCAATCACCTCTTCTTGAAGCCATATTTTTTGCATTCACAGAAGAGATCTGTCTTAGAGCTCCCCAAACTAACAATCTTTCTGCAGCCATCTCTATCCTTCTACTGGATGGTACACTCCTTACAATAATAGGCACCAGAGACCCCAGGGCCTCCACAGATCACACAGCGCCCCTGGTAAGATCCATAGTTACACTCATCACATATGCATACCAGAGTGCAGGGACACACAGAGGAGTCACAAATCACACACTTGCCATCACATTTTTCACACAGTCTTGCAATGGCAACACCAGACTGCTTGTGGCAAAAGATCAAATCAGGATGACGTTTAGCCATAGTTCCCAACGAAGCCAGCCGCCGGACATCTTGCTTTGTTTTATAGCCTGAAGTATACCACACACACCATTCAGCGCTGAAGAGAAACCTGAAGGGAGAAACAAGCACCATCCTGTGTCAGGAGGGCTGGGTTCTGGCCCCAGTTTTGCCAGAAATGAGCAACATGCTGGGGGAGGCATTTAGTCCTGTGGTCTTCAGCCTTCCCTCAGGACCACTGGAGCCTCAGAGGCAATGCTGAAGACACTAAGTAAACACTTGGTGGACCGAAAACATTTTATTATTTCAGCATGTTCGGAATTCAGGCCGTGGTTAACCTCCGAGCTCCTCTCCTGCTGGGTCTCTAACCATGAGCCTTCCTCTCATTTTTCAAGTTTCTATTATTCTCCTAGGGGAGTTTGCTTTTGTAGATATGATTCAGCTCTGCAGAGGGAACCTATGACAGTCATGTGAGATGTGTTTAATTTTGTTCAGTTTAATTGCATGTTACTAAGAGAGTTTACTAGATGACTCTGCTTTTCCAGTGATACTGGAAAGGAAAAATCATTCCGTTTTTTTTTTTTTAATTAAACTTTTTTTTTTTTGAGACAGAGTTTCACTCTGTCACTCAGGCTGGAGTGCAGTAGTGTGATCTTGGCTCACTGCAACCTCTGCCTCCCAGGTTCAAGTAATTCCCCTGCCTCAGCCTCCTGAGTAGCTGGGATTACAGGTGCACATCATCATGCCTGGCTACTTTTTTTTTTTTTTGTATTTTTAGTAGAGACAGGGTCTTGCCATGTTGCCCTGTCTGGTCTCGAACTCCTGAGCTCAGGCAATCTACTGGCCTTAGCCTCCCAAAGTGCTAGGATTACAGAAGTGATCCACCAAGCTCAGCACTTTTTTCTAGAAGATTCAAAAGAGGAAAATATACATGACTATTCTTTGTGGGTATCCATGTTATAATAAAGACATAGGAAAAGCTTTATTTTCAAAAATACGTGAATAAATGACCCTTTCTTTTCCACTTAGGATGAGATTTATGCTGCTAGACTTATACTGCGGTTTTATATTATTCTACAGTTGGTTTGCAACTAGAATGAATTTTTGTCAATGTCTCTATTTGAGGCAGAGCTGGGTGTGAGGAATGTGACCCCCAAAATATGGTAGACATAAAGTTGTGTCATCCAAGTCCTTCAAGCAGGGGCATGCTGCTCATCTGTGTGAGTGTGGTCAGCAAACAGCTTTCAGCTGTCAGCTCTGTCAAGGTCAGCCCCAGCTGTGTGAGCCACTTCATCTGAGGTCACATCCAGGACAGCCCAAAGCCCACGACTGAGGGAAGTGCCAGTGTAAAGGCATAGCCATTTTGACCTAACTGGGGAGGATCTGAAAAGCTATACCCGCTCCAGACTTTTCTGCTGGGTCGGCCAAAGGCTTTGCGGGGCTGACATCGTGGTCATCTTCTCTGTTTATCTTTTTCAGCACAATCCTGCTTCCTTTCACATTTTTTATAGGTATTGATCTCTAATAAATATAACCCGAATTTCCAGTGACTCTAACCTGAAACAGTTGATATCAAGAGTGGTCCAAGAAAACAGGCAATAAGATGATTTTGGAAGTGGATCACACACCACTGGGTTGGCTGTGAGGACCCCGTCACTGATGGCAGGTAGAGCTCAGGCACCATTGACACAGTGGCCATTCAGTTGTTAAATTTTTCATCATAACGACTTGGAACTTAATGCACTAGCAGGTAGAATAAATGTATCAGGCATCTGAGACTTTGAAGGGAAAGGTGGACATAAGGATAATGGGATTGGATGGATATTGCTAAGTGACACTGATGCTTCACAGAAAGATGGAGCAGCTAAGGGTGAAAGCCAGGTGTGAAATTCAGGTGTGAAGGCCAGACTTGGTGGATGCATGCAAAGCTCCTTCAGCCCCACGATGGCAGCACAGAAAAAGTGTAGGGTTAATAGTCCAGTGGCTGAACTTCAAAAAAATATAGGCAGGTCGGGGCCCAGGTTAGAAAAACCCTAACAGATGGAATGGAGACATGTTGGTAGATATCCCCAAGGATTTTAATATCTCAGTCTCTGACCTTCCTAAGCCATCGGCTGCCTTAGGACTGGCATGGTGAAGGCATAAGTGGACTCACCACAGTGACAGAAATGGAGGCAGCAAATACTTCCAAGAGCATGTAAAAGCAGTCCTTGGCTGGGCGTGGTGGCTCACACCTGTAATCTCAGCACTCTGGGAGGCTGAGGTGGGCGGATCACAAGGTCAGGAGTTCAAGACCAGCCTGGCCAAAATAGTGAAATCCCATCTCAACTAATAATACAAAAATTAGTCAGGCATGGTGGCACACGCCTGTAGTCCCAGCTACTCAGGAGGCTAAGGCAGGAGAATCACTTGAACCTGGGAGGTGGAAGTTGTGGTGAGCTGAGATAGAGCCACTGCCCTTCAGCCTGGGTGACAGAGCAAGCTTCAGTCTCAAAAAAAAAAAAAAAAAAAAGCAGTCTTCACTTGCATAGTAGTGTGGGATGGTAAAAATGACTGTGCAACCTAAAATCATGCAAAAAACTTTTTTAATGCAAATTTTTTTAAGTTTTTTTATTTTTATTTTTATTTGAGATGGAGACTTACTCTGTCGCCCAAGTTGAACTGCAATGGCATGATCTTGGTTCACTGCAACCTCCACCTTCCAGGTTCAAGCAATTCTCCTGCTTCAGCCTCCCAAGTAGCTGGGATTACAGGCACCTGCCACCACACCCAGCTAATTTTTTTGTATTTTTAGTAGAAATGGGGTTTCACTGTGTTGGCCAGTCTGTTTCAAACTCCTGACCTTGTGATCCACCTGCCTTGGCCTCCCAGAGTGCTAGGATTACAGGCATAAGCCACTGTGTCTGGCCTTAAAAATTTATTTTTAATGGACAAATAAAAATTAGATTTATCTATGGCAGTGGTCCCCAACCTTTTTGGTACCAGGGACTGGTTTCATGGAAGATGATTTTCCATGGACCAGAGAGGGGATGGTTTCGGGATGATTCAAGTGCGTTACATTTATGGCACACTTTATTTCTATTAATATTACATTGTGATATGTAATGAAATACTTATACAACTCACCATAATGTAGAATCAGCAGGAGCCCTGAACTTGATTTTCTGCACTAGACAGTGCCATCTCGGGGTAATGGGAGATAGTGTCAGATCATCAGGCATTAGATTCTCATAAGGAGCGTACAGCCTAGATCCCTCGCATGCACAGTTCACGATAGGGTTTGTGCTCCCGTAAGGATCTAATGCTGCTGTTGATCGACAGGGGCAGAACTCAGGCGGTAATGTGAGCGAGGGGAGCGGCTGTAAGCACAGATGAAGCTTTGTTTTCTTGCCCGCTGCTCACCTCCTGCTGTGCAGCCTGGTTCCGAACAGGCCTCGGACTGGCACCGGTCCATGGCCTGGCACTTGGGGACCCCTGATCTATGGAACACAACATGATGATTTGATATGTGCATACCTTGGGGAATGTCTAAATCAAGCTCACACACCTACTATCTCACTTTTTTTGTGGTGAAAATATTTAAAATCTACTATCTTAGCAATTTTTAAGTATACGATATATTGGCATTGACTACAGTCACAATGTTGTATAGTAGATCTCCTGAACCTTTTCCTCCTCACTAAAATTTTATTTTTTTTATTTTTTTTATTTTTTGAGACAGTTTCACTCTGTCATCCAGACTGGAGTGCAGTGGTGCAATCATGGCTCACTGCAGCCTCAAGCTCCTGGGCTCAGGTGATCCTCCCATCTAAGACTCTCAAGTATTATGTTGATGCAAAAGTTATTGCAGGTTTGCCATTAAAACATTAGCAAAAATCGCAAGAACTTTTGCACCAAGCCAAAAGCTGGGACCACAGGAATGCACCACAATGCTGGCTAACTTATTTATTTATTTTTTGTAGAGATGGGGTCTCCCTATGTTGCCCAGACTGGTCTCGAACTCCTGGGCTCAAGCTTCCTACTGCCTCAGCTTCCCAAAGTGTTGAGATTATAGGCGTAAGCCACTGTGCTCAGCCCTGACTAAAATGTTATACTCTTTAACCAACATCTCCCCAATCCAACTCTCATTCCCCAGACTCTGGTAACCACCACTCTACTCTTCGTCTCTATTAATGAGTTTAACTCTATTATAGATTCCACATGTAAGTGAAATCATGCAGAATTTTTTTTTCTTTATTTTCTTTTTCCACATTTGAAAGAATTTCTCTTTCTGTGCCTGGCTTACTTCACTTGTGTGTCCTATAGGTTCATCCATGTTTGTCACAAATGACAGGATTTCCTTCTCTTTCACAATGGAATGCTGTAGAATATTCCATCGTGTGTATACACCACATTTTTAAAATCTATTCACTTGTTGACGGTTACAGGTTGATTCCATATCTTGACTATTGTGAATAGTGCAAAACAATCTTAATAATCAGTGGGAAGAATTATGATTGTTCTGCAAGTTTCAAAAAGTTTTGTCAAAATATTAAAAACTGTCTTTCTGACAGTTACAAAAAAAGAAATTACAAATCATAGTGAAACTAATATTTACTTAGTATACTCTTTTTTTTTTTTTTTGAGATGGACTCTCACCTTGTTACCCAGGCTGGAGTGCAGTGGGACGATCTCACTGCAACCTCTGTCTCACAGGTTCAAGTGATTCTTCTGTCTCAGCCTCCCAAGTAGCTGGGATTACAGGTGCCCACCATCACACCCTGCTAATTTTTGTATTTTTACTAGAGATGGGTTTTCACTATGTTGGCCAGGCTGGTCTCGAACTCTAACCTCAAGTGATCCGCCTGCCTCGGCCTCCCAAATTGCTGGGATTACAGGCTCGAGCCACCATGTCCAGCCTACTTAGTAAACTCTTATTAATTGTTTTTTAAAAAATCATAATAAGGAGAGCATTAAACAGAGACAGGCCAGTATTTTAGCTTCTAGGTAAACAGAGCCCACTGTAAAACAGTAAAACAAAACTAACACCAACTGACCTCTGGCCAGGGCCTTCCCACACTAAACCCATCAGGTACATTTTCATTGTCTCCCCTCCTTGTAAAAGCTCACAGCTCATGCTGTTGCAGCCAAGAACTCCCAATCTCTTTTGATTCTGAGTGCCACCTAAATTGTGAATTGTTCTTTGTTTAAAATAAACTCTATTATGTTTATTTTATCTAAAGCTTTTATTTTTAACAGATGTGGTGCCAGAAATGGGATCCAAAGGTGTTTCTCTGGCAGCCCCAGGAATACAGAGCTACCAGGAGAGGTACCCACAGACCCCACTGTGCTCACGGCTCTCTTGTTTGTAACTGGAGGCTGTTAATTTCCTCTCAGACTGAGCTCCATGAATTATATTTTGAGCTCTCTAGACTTTCATTTGAACAAACAGAGCCCAGGATCAAACTGAATTTGATAATTAACCAGATTGGATCCAGATACAGTTCTTGGCTAGGTACCTGTTGACAGTGGGTTCATCTGAATCAAAAGGAGTCTGGCACTCTGTCTTCTGGAACTCCAGCAAATTTTATTTATAAGAATTATGGACCCAGGACTTGCACATTTTTGGAAAAATGAGTTAATCTTACAAAGATAACTTAGATTTAAAGTGGCCACTACGGGGAAGTTTTAACCCAGATAAAATCGTTCACTTGTGAGGCACATTGGAAAAGAAAAGAAATGCAATGGGATGTAATTTGTAATCGGTGCAGAGAAACACCTAGAAGATAAAGTTAATAAAAAATTGCCTCCCTAAAAAATTTCTTACAGAAGGCAAAGGAAAATCTTAAGCAAAAACTCAGGATGTTAAAAAAAAAGAACTGTACCTTGACTGAATTAACCCTGACGGTTCCTTCTCTTTATCTGTCCTTACCTTTTGCCTAGCTACCCTTTCACTCTGAAGACAATGAAAAAAGGAAAGTTGGGTAAATGCTTGCAAAATGAGACCCTCTGATTAGGCAGGCACGCCTGCCATAATCAACTCTACTCCATGGTCTAAAATTGAGCTTAGAGACATTGTAAATGACTTCCCTAACCCCAAGAAAACTCCCTGGAAATGTACCAAGGAATTCAGAAACCTTATTGGAGCATTTAATCCAGGACTCCCTGATTTTTACCAGTTTATTCAGATGCTACTGGGACTTGGTAAGGCTTGAAGATGGATAGCAGCAGTGGAATGGGACCAGCCATGGGAGGATGTGAAAGACTCTCCAAAACCTCCTGAAAAGAAGACAGAAAGAAGCTGAAAGAATTGCCGAAGACCTTTCAAATTCAGTTCCTAAGATATTTCCACAGAAAGTTGATTGGTCTATCATACAATCTTATAGACAAAAAAAGATGAACCAATTTCAAATTACAGAGCCCATTTAGAAACACTATTTATAAAACATGCTGGATTTGAAATACCACAAGGGGTGCTTCCTGCAGAGACTGAAATGGCATTAGCTTCTCTGTTTGCAAATGGACTTCATCCTAAATTTAGTAGTTTAATTAGAAAACATCCACCAGGATGGAAAGTTATAGATATGATTGAATTGGTGGCCCTAGTTGAACATTCTGAGAGGATTCTAAAGCAAGAGAAATATCAAAAGGCAAATAAAGGGCTGTTAACACAGAGAGACCCCCATCTCTACAAAAATAAATGAAAAAATCAACCAGGCATGGTGGCATGTGCCTGTAGTCCCAGCTACTAGGAGGCTGAGGTGGGAGGATCACTTGAGCCAGGAGGTTGAGGTTGCAGTGAGCCATGACTGTGCCACTGCACTCTAACCTCAGTGACAGAGCAAGACCTTGTCTCAAAAAAAAAAAAAAAAAAGAAGAAGATAAATAAACCCATGTCCTTATGTTACCAAAATGCCAGGGGTTTGGTTTAGGTCCTGCTGCTCACTGCACAGAAAGCCAGTCACTGAGACAGTGAGTATTCCCAGGGAAGAAGGCTTTTATCGGGTGCCACAGCCAAGAAGATGGGAAATTAGTCTCAAATCCATCTCCCTGACCAAGTACAATTAGACGTAAATTAGAGGTTTATGTAGCAGGGAAGAAATGTAGCCATGTGTGGATAAACAGGAATTAGGAAGGGGTAAGGAAGATAAGTTGGTCAATAGGAAGCAGGTGGTCAGTTAAGCCAGCAGTCCCCAACCTTTTTGGCACCAAGGACAAGTTTCATGGAAGACAATTCTTCCACACACAGTGGTGAGGGTGGGGTGTGGGGGATGGTTTCAGGATGAAACTGTTCCACCTCAGATCATCAGGCATTAGATTCTCATAACACACAGGCAATCCAGATCCCTTGCATGCACAGTACACAACAGGGTTCCTGATCCTAAGAGAATCTAATGGTGGTGCTGATCTGGCTCAGGAGGTAATGTTCACTCACCCTCCACTCAGTTCCTGATGTTCTTAATAGGCCATGGATTACAGTTCATGGCCTGGGGGATTGGGGACCCCTGAGTAGGCAATCGTGATAGGTGAAGGGTCTGGCATTTCATAGCCCAGATGTGGTTATCTGGTAAGCTTCAGTTCCTTGCTACTATCTGGGAGCCCTGACGGTTGGTTTCCTGAGAAAGGAACAAATGTAACTTTCTCAAGTTTCAAGACTGGGAGGGTCAATTTCTTTTTCCTTTTTCTTTTTTTATTCCTTTCTTTCTTTCCTTTTTTTTTTTTTTTTTTTTTTTTTTTTGAGATGGAGTCTCATGCAGTTGCCCAGGCTGGAGTGCAGTGGCATGATCTCGATTCACTGCAACCTCCACCTCCCAGGTTCAAGCAGTTCTCATGCCTCAGCCTCCCAAGTAGCTGAGATTACAGGTGCACACCACCATGCCCAGGTAACCTTTTTTTTGGTATTTTTAGTAAAGACAAGGTTTTGCCATGTTGGCCAGGCTGGTCTCAAACTCCTGGCCTCAAGTGATCTGCCCACCTCAGCCTCCCAAAGTGCTGGAATTACAAGCCACCACGCTTGGCCTGGGAGGGTCAATTTCCATGTTTATTCAGAAGAAACCAATAACATCAGTTCTATGGTTTAAGTAATAGTCACAACAGCTACAGTAAAAGCAGACATCTTGAGGCACAAGTTTCTTTAGTTTGGGACCTCTTAGTATTGATTTAAAATATATAGATAAACAGGAGGAAGAGGACCAAAGAAACTTGTGCCTCGAGATGTCCTCCTTCATTATAAATAGGCCACTGGAATCAAAATTGTCCAGTCTTTTTTTTTTGAGATAGAGCCTCATTCTGTTGCCCAAGCTGGAGTGCAGTGGTGCAGTCTCGGCTCACTGCAACCTCTACCTCCCTGGTTCAAGTGATTCTCTTGCCTCAGCCTCCTGAGTAGCGGGACTATAAGCACAAACCACCATGCCCATCTAATTTTTGTATTTTTAGTAGAGATGGGGTTTCTCCATGTTGGCCATGGTGGTCTTGAACTCCTGACCTCAGGTGATCCACCCGCCTCAGCCTCCCAAAGTGCTGGGATCAGAGGCATGAGCCACCACACCTAGCCAAAATTGTCCCGTCTTGTACCAGCTGTGTAATGAACCCATTTCTTTTGACCCAGACATGTTTCCCTCCAGATGAAGCTCCTGTAGCTTTGACACCTGGAATAAAAATCAACACTAATGAGGCTCCAAAGGGTTCTTCCCATAATACTTATAAGTGAACAAGGGAAAAACAAAAACAATAATAAATAAAATAAAATAAAAAGATTAATGGGAAAAAGCCAGGCAGGGTGATGCATGCCTGTAATCCCAACTATTTGGGAAGCTGAGATGGAAAGATCACTCAAACCCATGACTTTTAGACTGACTGAATCACTACACTTGAGCCTGGGTGACAGAGGGAGACTCTGTCTCAAAAGGAAAAAAAAAAGTAGATAAAGTGGCTCCAGTATTTACCAAACCTGTATACAATTTCCAATTAATCTTTTTTTTTTTTTTTAAGAGACAGGGTCTCACTCTGTCACCCAGGCTGGAATACAGTGGCGTGATCACAGCTCACTGCAATCTTGACCTCCTGGGCTCTAGGGATCCTCCCACCTCAGCCTCTCAAGTAGCTAGGACTACAGGTGCATGCCACTGTGCCTGGATAATTTTTTTTTTTTAACTTTTTTGTAGAGATGGAGTCCTGCTATGTTGCCCAAGATGATCTCAAACTCCTGGCTTCAAGAGATCCTCCCTGCCTTGGCCTCTCAAAGTGCAATGATTACAGGTGTGAGCCACTGTGCTCGACCACCTTATGTACTTCTTAAAAAAAATTTTTTTTTGAGATGGAGTCTCACTCTGTTGCCCAGACTAAAGTACAGTGTTGTAATCTCAGCTCGCTGCTACCTCTGTCTCCCAGATTCAAGCGATTCTCCTGCTTAAGTCTCTGAGTAGCTTAGACTACAGGCACACATCATCATACCAGCTAATTTTTGTATTTTTAGTAGAGACAGGGTTTCACATGTTGTTCAGACTGGTCTCCAACTCCTGACCTCAAAGTGATCTGCCTGCCTTGGCCTCTCAAAGTACTGGGATTACAGGCCTGAGCTACTGTGTCTGGCCTGCCTAGGTACTCTAAACCCTTGCAATAAAAAGAACAGTCTCATGGTGGAGGTTTCAAATCAAGTCTAAAATGTCTCCATGTCTAAACCTGTCCGAATGATACTTGAACCATTTTCAGAAAAATATGCCTTCCTACTTTGTGATGCTGCTCAGTGAATCCATGGGGACAAGACTTGCTCTCTGAATTAAAAATGTACAGAAAATTACCTTCAGAAGGAGAGATAATCTTATAATTTCCTGACTCTCCTGAACTTGAACTGCTCTATTACCTACTGGCAGAAGCTGATAACACCAAAATGCAAATTATAAAAACCTGTTCTTTCTGAAGAACCTTTGTGGGCTTCCTCCTTAAATGACATAGAACACATTTAAAGTGCTAAACCCGCAAAAATAAAAACAGAAAAAAAATCCCAATAGATCATTCTAAGCTGCCACCTAAATTACCTCAATATCCACTAAAACCAGATGTATTCTGGGGCTGTTACCAATGGTACCGAAATTAATTATACAAAGACTTCTCATTTTTTGCACTGGTCCTTGTGACACCCCAATCTACCACTTTAAAAACCCAGTGGACAAGGTTGGAGATTTGTTCAAGACCTACATGCAACAAATAAGATTGTAATACTAAGGTTGCCAGTAGTTTCAAATTCAAATACTTTGTTGTATAATGTACCCAAAATTTAAAATGGTTCACAGTGATGAAACACAGTATTCCAGCTGGTAAAATGAGTTGATACTTACTTGCTTTTCATTGGAAAAAATCAACAATGTAATTGGACTGTAATGACAAAGGGATTTACCAAGGCCTCTCTTATTTTTCTCAGACTCTGCATCAGGTTTTGCCAAATTTGGGATTTCCTAAGAATTCTGCTCTTATTTAATATGTTGATAACCTACTGCTATGTTGTTTCTCATACTAAGGAAGAGTCAGAAATAGATTCAACTCTCTCTCTCTCTCTCTCTCTCTCTCTGTGTGTGTGTGTGTGTGTGTGTGTGTGTGTGTGTGTGTGTTGGAGTCTTGCTCTGTTGCCCAGGCTGGAGTGCAGTGGTATGATTGTGGTTCACTGCAACCTCCACCTCCCAGGCTCAAGTGATTCTTGTACCTCAGCCTCCTGAGTAGCTGAGACTACAGGTGCGAGCCACCACACCCAGTTAATTTTTGTAGTTTTCGTAGAAAAGGGGTTTCACTGCATTGACCAGGCTGGTTTTGAACTCCTGACCTTAAGTGATCCACCTGCCTTGGCCTCCCAAATTGCTGGGATTACAGGCATGAGCTCTGGCACCCGACACCTCAATCTACTTCTTATAACAATTAGCTTACAAAAGCCATAGACTTCCATGGAAAGATCAGTTTTGCTGAGGAAAACTTACCTCTCACCTGAAAGAATGAAAATTATTCAAAGTTTCTCTTGCTCCATGTCTAAAAGGCAAGAGGTTCCCTTGAATTTGCAGGATGTTACAGGTCTTAGGTCCCAAATTTTTCCGTGTTGGCATCTCCCTTGTATGACCTTGTACAAACACTGATCCAGAGCCTTTAGCTTGGGAGGATAATTATGAACAGACTTCAGCCAACCAAAACTGGCCCTACCACAATCTCCAGCCTCAGGACTCCCAAATTATAGCAAGCAGGTATCACTTTCACCTCATTCATTCATGAACACAACAACAAGGCTTTAGGAGTTC